TCCTGTTTTATTGTGTAACTTCCTGTTTTATTGTGTCACTTCCTGTGGAGAGTCCTGATGTCTGATGATATTACCCCCCACCCAGCTGACCCAGATGTTCAGACCAGTATGGAGGTCACTGGTTTAAACTGGGACACTCCACCCGCCTGCAGCGTGGTTCTGGTTCTGGTCCACTTCAGGCTCTTTGTGGTCTGCTGCAGAACTCATCGTCATGTTCTGATCCGGACTCTCAGGTGTTCCTGCAGAACCAGAGGAACAACAGGACTCTGTAACAGAACCAGGCTGTTTATGTCTGCGTGACCCGAAGCATGCGCTGACTCAGTTTCCATCCTCCTCTCCTCCTCCTCCTCCTCCTCCTCCTTCTCCTCATGTCACTCACAACATTTTGCTTTTAGCTCCTCGGTACCAGGTCCAGTTCTCTTCAGGACCAGCATGGACCATAAAGCTGAAAGAACTGCTCTGGTTGAAGGTTCTGAGTTTGATTGACAGCTCTTTATTWGTTTGTTTGTTTGTTTGTTTGTTTCAGGCACTGTGGCTCAGATAAACAAACGAGGCCGACGAGCATCAGACCAACGATGGGTGAGTTGTTCATGTTAGCTCTCAGCTACTGCCACACCGAACTTTAGCTGTTTCTGTCAAAGTTTCAGCTGATTTACTTTTCTGATGCTTGCTTTGCTTTGAGTTGGAGTGCTTCATGTGCTTGTGTTGTGTGTGTTGTGTTGTATGTGTTGTGTTATGTTGTGTTGTATGTGTTATGTTGTGTGTGTTGTGTTGGGTTATGTTGTGTTGTATGTGTTGTGTTGTATTGTGTTGTGTTGTGTTGCGTGTGTTCTGTTGTGTTGTATTGTGTTGTGTTGTATTGTATTGTATTGTGTTGTGTTGTGTTGTATGTGTTGTGTTGTATGTGTTGTGTTATGTCGTGTTGTATGTGTTGTGTTGTATGTGTTGTGTTGTATGTGTTGTGTTATGTCGTGTTGTATGTGTTGTGTTGTATGTGTTGTGTTGTATGTGTTGTGTTGTGTTGTGTTGCGTGTGTTCTGTTGTGTTGTGTTGTATTGTATTGTATTGTATTGTGTTGTATTGTATTGTATTGTGTTGTGTTGTGTTGTATTGTATTGTGTTGTGTTGTGTTGTATTGTATTGTGTTGTGTTGTGTTGTA